AAACACTTAACATGACAAGCAAACAATCAACTGGCAGTCACTCACAAAGACTTTCATAATATTTTTCTTAAGCGTTATCTAATAACAAAATCCTATCAAGACAAAATACTTTAGATCGAATTCCACTTATTTTACCTATAGTCAACGACAATTCTAAACTTGAATTAGGAAAAAATAACACAATAGCTGAACGTTTTGTCGTATGAAAACAGTTATAGATGAATCAATATTAAAATGGGAGTGGGAAGTAGCATCACGATTCAACTGCCCGCCCAGTCTAAACAGCTTTATAATCATAAACTACTTGAAATTTAGATAGATTCAATAAAAATTATAATATTCTTTAAAATAACAAATTATGATACCATATCATAGAATTCAGTTTCGTGTGTACCTTTTTACTGCTATTGTACTTGAAATGTTCAATTTTAAATGATTAACACCATTTGAAGTTGATTTCCACTACAATGGAAGTGTTTGTTTTTTGTCCAAATATTTATTTTAGAATGATTTGGAATATAATATATCTACTGTTTGTTAATGTTTACATTTTATAAGACCTATTTAAGAACAAGTATTATACATAGAAAAATTAACCTAATGAACAAACAGAAAAATATGTAAGAGTTATCATTATTAGAACAATTAATCTAATGCAATACTAAAGTGAGAACAACACATTTAAGCGGACAATATTGTTTTCAGTTAGATCGTCATCATGCTTTACTCTGATACATATGAATGTTTATGTAAAAATGTTAAATCAATCAAGACAACTTGAGTCAATAATCACAATGAAATAGGTTACGTCACGTCTCTAACCGATGAATAGAGACCTTGAACGACATGGCGCAAAATCGTTTGCAATGGCGCAGGGGCATTCATTCATTGTGTTCTGTCAAATTCTAACCTCCTGAATCCCTCTTCATCTCTATTTTTCTCTTTCTAAAGCTATCTCACTGAGCTATATACTTCATGAATAATATCCTCGATCCCTGATATTCTCCTTTACCGCTTATACTTCTGTTATCTGTACCATTATGGGATTTGAAATGACAGTTGCGTCTCTGTGCTGATGGGTTATGCGTACCTGAACTTATGTACTCATGTACGAAGTTCTACGTTGTAACTGAATGACTGACTGACTGACGTCACGACACACAAAAGATAAAAGAACAAGTAGCCAGTAGGAAGACAGGTGAACTGATAGTAGTAAGAAAAATAAAATACAATAACAAAAGTTCTATCAATAGTTCAACAATGGAAATCAAATCGCCTTGACTGGTTGAACATTTTCATAGAAATATTCATGTATATTAGAGTAAGGCCAGATGACGATCAAACTGAAAACAATATTGTCCGCTTATACGTGTTGTTCTAATACTGAAATGATCATAACTATCAAATTATTAGTTTACTCCCTGAATCCTTAACGAACAGATTTCTGAAGATAAAAAAAACATTGATGAAATGAGTACCATTAAATATGGGTGAATTTCAATTATGCATACAGTATTTCAGCAAAACAATATGCTTAAATTACTTATTAGGCAACAAATAACTGATAAAGATTAAAAATGAAGATTTTCAAAATTATCAGTCAAGATTTATTTTCGTCCATCGTATTAGTCAGTAACTGACATAAACTGTTATGACGTGACTTTTCTTCCCTTCCCGAAAGATATCTTTGCTAAAAGTATAAAGCCAAATTTTATGATACATTTAACAGATAGTTTATATTTGAATAGAGAAATAAGAAGACATATTTTGTGAGATAGTACCATTTCGTGCTTTCTCGTCAGTCACATACAAGCAACATGTTATTTGTGTAAATACAGTTTTGAAGATAAGGTCAAAATTTCTTATTTAGCATGACATTCACTCACTAGAACCATGGTAAACAAAGGTCAACATACAGTTGTTTTTGAACACATAAAGTTGGACTTTTCCGACCAATCAAGATAGCTTCGAGTAGTTTCAGTGTGTGTGGGTTTTGATGACATGTCACAACTCTAAAGGCTGATTTTGGGTCAATTTGATGACCACTCATCATTAGATGTTTTGCAATGGACGAGGCTGGGTTTCTTGATCGATTTTGAGATGATGGGCTAGGTTGATGAATCATGGATTTGATTAACCATTTTGGAATATGTTCCCCTATCCTGTCTTCCAATCGGCGATCTGTCCTCCCTAAGTAACTTTCTCCGCAGTTACATGTGAATAGTTTATAAATTTATTTAATCAGCATAGATCATGGGAACAAACCCTTTATGCGCTTCTGATAACTTACATTGGTAATATAAAAATTCAACTTGTTTCAACAAACTTATGCCGAGACCATAGAAAATGTAATGGACTAAAACTTACCATGTTATACTGGATAACTGATGCATGGAACTTCCTTCACTTGGAAATTTTTAAGAATAACTAAACTTATTAATTGACAAAACCTGACCAAACCTGTTATAATATTGCTAAAGGACTTGAATATAGTGCGAATAGCTTATGGATAACCGAGGCAAGTAATTACACTAATTTAACTTATCGTCTTCGAACAATAAAACCTTAACCCAGGATGTGAAACGTAAAAGTGAAGTGAAGCAAAGTAGAGAAGGCGAATGGGTAAACTCAATGTGATGAGCCATGATTAAATATTCATAGTCAGACGAAAGTAAACTAGACATGTAACAAGCGAAAGATCCAATGTACACACTCAAATAGAAACAACCAAGAATGTAGGTGAATAACTATCAAGGTCGAATAATAACTCAAGAAGAATGGATTAATTAATTTTTCCCAAGGCTGGTGCAAGCTATGTAGGCTCAGCATATTAATACACACTAGAAGTCTTATATACTGAATTTAAAAATTAATCCGACGTTTCTCTCTGTGATCTGGCTCAAGTTTTTTAAAGGAAGTGTTACATTAAATCAGGCCCCAACTACTATGAATTTATTTGTTCGAACTTAGAAGAAGGTTCTTATAAATGTAACAATCGTTTCGAAAGATATGCATTTCAAGTAATGACGTCATTAAAGTAATCAATCAGTAAATAGTTTACTAAGAACGTATACAGATAAAAATTGGATTGCCTTCAACAGTGTATCAAGGAATGTATGCTTTCAGTATAGGGAAAATTCGAAATATTCAATAGAAAACTTTTTAATGCCTCTCAGTGAGCCACATTGTATCAGCCTACTTGTAAGTAGTTTGTCTTAAATTTAAAAATTACTACATTTAATAGCTATTAACAAGAAAAGAATCAATATTACATTGTCATTCTTTGCTCATTAATAAAGTTTCACATTATCACAACTAATAAGAGCACCGAGGATGATCAAACGTATATGTGAAGAAACTTTTAAATTTAGTGTTGTAAATAATATACAGAATTTGTATGAGTTCTTTAAGTTAAAGTCATCTGTGACTGTATATAACCAAATATATAATGAGGAGAACATTTTCAAAAACTCTATATGAACAAATGGGACTTGGGTAAAAGTTGAATTCCATGCTAGGCATCAATACGAAAGTGTTCAGTGAGCAAACAAATAAGTCTCACTAGAATGCGCAACTCAGATTCACTCATACATCCAGATTTCAGTTAATTAACGTAACTGACATAATAATCAGGAAACTTACCACAATTATTAGTACAACAGATTCTGATGCAGTTAATATAGTCGCTTGTATCTCTTTGCAAAGAAAAAAATGTATGAGAATGTACGGAAAAAACAAGTTCAATATTCAATCATATTCATAAACAAACTGTGCTTTTCGAGAACTCTATTCAAATGTCTCACAAAATTTTATGACAAATAAATGAACGATATTTGAACATTCGAATACATTCGAACGTAATGTTTGGTAATAAACAGTAATACAACTTAATGTAAATGCGAATTTGGCAGACATCTCACAAATACATTTAAAAATAGTTTGTAATGGATTAAAACAATATGATTACTATATGGTCCAAAGAACACATAGACTTTCAATGACCATGAGGCTTAATGACAACTTTTTCAATACAGAATTTTCAAGAAAATAATCATTTATGAGACAGACAGACTGTTGTAATATTTGCGGATGTGACCTGTTCTATTCTTCATAGTACGTCTGTAATTAATTCAACTAATTTTTAATCTTGACTTCAGATTGGCTTTTTAAAATTCACATTATTTATTTCAGTACATGGAACCTATTCCAGTCATTTCAAATGAATTGTAAAATAATCGCCCCCCCCCCCTGTAAATATTTGATTTCTTGACTAAATGCATGACTGGTAATTAAAAGAAGTCATTCAATCAGTTAATCTACTACTTACTAGCTTTGAAATTTCACATTACTTTACCAAATGAACAGTTTTATAGGTAGTTTGACACACACACATATACTAGAAGTGTCCATTTGATATTCAATAATTAATTGACTTTTTTAAATATATACCAACAAAATGTAGTTTTATTGGCGTAGTAAAAAAACAAATGTTATAGCTATTCTAATAGAATAAGTTGTTCAGACTGGATTCTTCATTTTTACTGATCAAATAATTAACCGAAATGATAGTTTTCCCCCATGTATGATTCAACATTTAACATCTTATTTACATATGTATTGCTTAGTAATTTTCACTATCTTGAAATTATCATACTTATTGTACAAATATCATGAAAACTAATTTTATGATTTGGCATTCATAGCAGGAAATTTTCTATTGTGCAAATAATTAACGACGGATAGATCCAATGGCCAAAAAAAATTTAAACACAGAACCTGCAATAAATTTGTCAACTCTTATCAACAATACACAAAAATGATTACTGCATTAGCATTAAAGACACAGATCTAATATTCTGACTATATAGAAATACACAAAACACCCGAACTATCTAACCCGCATGTACTTATGTTTTTTACCGTTTTTTAATTGGTTTTTCAACATTTGAAGATTTTTTATAATATATATATACGGGTTAAATTACTTGAGAATTTTAACGCCTCAAACTACATGATATCAAGGTTTGTAAATTTACAAATAACATGTTCAAGTACAATATAGATATTATTACTAAAAATTCATATTATATATATATATATATGTGCATATCCTGTTATATTTTTTTATTAGCTTAATTAAAATATTTCAAAGAAAGACAACAAATATTAAACAAGAATGAAATGTTGCAATTATATAATTTTTCTCAAAATATGGTTACTTTTATTCCATGTTATTGTATGTTATGGTAACTATGGAAAACCTCCCTACGATCAAGTGGATAGTGATTACAAAGATGAAGTAGAACAAGAAATAGTCAAAGCACCATTAAGTTTCATGCCAGGTATGAAATAAAATTGTCATATTTTTTGATCATTCATTATTATTATTATTATTATTATTATTATTAATGTTAACTTAATGTTGGTGTTTTGTTGAGTCCTTTAAGCTAAATGGATTCATCCAAGAGATTTCATTGTTATTTTGAATGACATCATTAGAGCACAAGTCCTGTCAAAGCGAGCTTCTTCATTAATCTACAAGTGTTCTGGTTGCCTTGTCTGTAAGAACTCATCAACATCAAAAGTATACACCTAAGAGCTACAAATTTCCGACATTATTTTATGAACATAATAATTTTTTATGGTGATAAAAATTAATCGATAAGCAAAAATGAGAAATAGGAGTAAAAAATAGTTCAATCACGATATCTAACTGACGGCATTTACTGAATTTCTCACGTTTTTTAATACTAACAATGATCTATGGCTTATGTGTGAAATTTAATCATGTTTGTACAAGACATTCTATAGAGTAGAGTATTTTTTTGATACTAGACATAAGAGACAGTTGTTAATACTTCTTGAAAAATCAAATTATTAATAATGTAATGTTATAACTAAATATGAACAATGGATAAATATCATCAGCTAGAAAATGAAAACATTTTAATTGATAAAATAATAAATAACTTTTGCAGTTTATTATTATCAAGATTATATAATTATGTCATACATCACTTTCAACTTGTAACTATAATTTCAATAAAATTTTTGTATGGAAATTGTTGATATATTATTAAGTCCTGATATGGGACTCCTCAGCAGTGCGCATCCACGACTCCTGCACCTCGGAGGATTCGAACCCAGGACCTTCGGTATTTTGTGCGAACGCCTAACCATCAGACCACTGAGCCGGTTTCTAACGGTGTTAATGTCTAACTTGATCAATTCACGGTTTCAAAAATGTGTAACTTACCAATCTTCACAACCCCGTAATGCATATTATTAAGTGACAAATCTACATCAACTTGGAGATAATAATTTTGATACTAGTCAGCAATACTTATACTTATTCAATATTTTCAATTTGAAGGGCAAGGAAAAACAGAAAATTGACAAAAAATTTATTGACCAAAAAAATTTTTGTGTAATCCAGTCAACTTTACAAAGATCAGTTTGCACTGAATAAAATAAAATTTCTTCATTGTAAAAAAAAGAAATATTTGATTAGGTATTCAAATGATTTATGCCAGGGTATAGTAATCCCATACAGAAATATAATCCTGTTATCACTATCATCAGTTGTTGAAACCTTGATTACAAAAGTGTCTTAGTTGGTTGACATTTCTTTTTTCAACTTTAAATAAACCGCCAGTTAAAAAATAAAAGTTGATAAACAACCATTAAATATTGATTAAATATAAATTGAACTATTAGTACAGGGGATTTGTAGGAACTGTAGGATTTTCATAGTTTAAACCACAAACTCATCTTAAATGAAACATTATTGAGAACATTGAAAAATTGGACGCTGATTTTGTCCTAGTATGGAACTCCTGAGCATCTCAATTTAATTACTCAATTTCGAATTAAAATAATTTCAAATATATGATTATTCCAGTAACATCCTTAATTTCGTTATTTCTATGTCAGCTGAACAACTAACACGAAACATACAAATATTATTCGCCTAGTTTGTTCTGCCTTTTACGGTTAGATGAAAATGCTGATTCTGCAGCATTAAAATGGGACCTAGTTATCAGCATCTTTGATGATGATAAATATTCTCAAAATAGAAAATAATTAACTTTATAGAATAAAATTAAGATATTCTTACTAAAAGTAAAATTTATGGATTATTAAGTAGAAATCAAATCTGTTTAATTACTGACAATAAAATCTAAGATATTCTTCAGCTTACAAAACTTTTCTAAAGACAATTTTCTCTTTGGAAGGATGAAAAACAAGCATTTTTAATGGAAAATGATTGGAAACTTTATTTGAAAGTATACTTTAATTAGCCTACTAAACTGTTTCAGGAGATAGAAGAATTAGAATGCGTGAGTTTAGTTTCTAGAGTAAAAAAAAACGAGTAAATAACATTTTAGTTATGAGATTATTCAATACTATGTTGAACAGTGGTAAGACATATTATTTGAACTCATAAGCTGTTTGTTAGATTACAGAATCTCTAATTTAACAAATAAAAATCATAAATTACATTAAAATCAAGTCATCAGCTAGTAAGAATAATCATTATTTTATAAGATTATCCATCGGTTTTTCAATGTTTAACAAGTATACTCAATAGTGTTGAGTGACATACACTGAGTATCTGAAAACAGATGAATAACCCCACAAACCATTATAATTTCATATTATCTGAGAAATGAGCAATCGAAGTTATTTTGGAAAACTAAATACAAAAGATTTTATGATAACTAACTAATAAAATCATTATTTTTGTAAGTCTTTCATTAAAATATGATTTTTCTTTTATACACTGTTTTCTAATAATTGAAAAAAGTTTGCAAACCTCAACAGATACATACGTTTTCTCAAAAACAACTTCGATGCGCATGTGGAATCAAATGTCAATATTTATGTCAAACAAAGACGACAAGGGAGAAAGAAGGTGAACAAAGAAAAACATGCAGAAGAGTATGCCATCAAAGACCATGTTACCGGCCATTAACACATAAAGTTTACCACTATAGCTTATCTGGTGGTCTTTGCAGGATGTAAGTACGAATAAAGTATATCAGTAATTATTATAGTTATAATCTAATCAAAGATTCAACTTTCAAGGTTTCTTTTCAGTTTCCCATATTATTATTTGTAAATAATATTGGTAATCGCAGTTAGTACATGAGTCCCTAAATAAAGTTGTGTATTTCGAGGGTTCGAAAATCGTTTGAAGATAAACTAAGCAATATACTTTTATTGAAGTAGCACAAATCCTTGTTGTGCTCTCGACTCATTTAACATTGAATCATATTATTTGTACAAAATACTAAACAAAGTTGACATATTGTATTTATTACATACAGAGTATAAACGGTTTTTAATCAACAGACGCTGCTGCAATTGCCAACACCTGATATGTGAAAACCAACTAGTTAAGATATTTATCAAGTCATTCAGGTCTTCCAAATGGAGTGGGATGATAGTAGTGATTTCGTTAATCGACCTATCTCGGAAATGCAGAGAACTTACTGGTCTTAAGTTAACGCACTTCTTCTAAGACCAAAACGTTATGGCTCTAATTTAAAGTGGGATTATCTTTTGCTTCCGAATGAAATAATTAAGAATTTGTTTTATCAGTGTTTCCTTGAAACGAAACTTCAACCAGTAGTCCCGGTGAAATGTATATCATACACTAGTGAAAGGTAACAAACTGATGATTTCATTCGGTTTTTACAGAAACTCTATCAATTGGGCTTCTATTTTTCCAACAGTTCGATGATTAACACAAATAGTAGGTAATAGTGCAGTGAAGGAGAACAAAGGAGAGGGTAACCGAATTGCATTTGTCTCAAATGACAGAGTTAATTGGTAAAATAGAAAAACCATATCGTAAATCGTTATTTTGCAAAATATCAATCCATCATATCGAACTGGACTGTTCCTGTTGCAAACATCAATCCATTGTCTGACATTTCACTGTTCATGCGTTTCATACAAATCCCATTGTGTTCCCGCTCTTCCTTTCTTGATCTTCCCTCATCTTCTGCTGCCGGACATTAGGTTTTAACTGGCGTCATATACTACTTATAAGTAGCGCGCACCATAATAGTAATATGAATACAGTCTGTTTGAGTTTCCTGTATTTCACGATCAAATGCTAACACCATCAGCATGTAAAGATGATTTAGCAATAAATACTACAATTAATAAGCAATTATGCATCGGCCTAACCAAACGCAGAAAAACAAGAATGAGATTTAGAATCTACCAAAACACCGATGGACTATCAGAATAACCGAACTACGATAGTTGTTGTGAGAAATCTACCCAAGAAAATGTGTAACACCGAATTCACGATTTCAACGTGAGGATTTATCGATTGTTTTCGACATAGACAGTTTCAAAACATTCTGTTATCATCAAATTCTCATTTATGATATCAGTGTTTTTTTGAATGCAATGAGCAACAACAAGAATATGATCATCAATACTTAACTAACGACAGATAATTGACGATAACTAGTCATCACTCAAAACTATTCATCACGTTTGTAATTTTAGCATCATCTAACACGCTTCCCAATCATGTCAATGTCTAACTTTAATCAATCTACAGCTTAACGGTCTAGAGGTCAAACGCCCACCTACGAGACCGAGGGTCACGGGTTCGATTCCCGTGTGCAGAGGTTGTGGATGTGCACTGCTGATGAGTCCCATACTAGGACGAAACAGTCGTCCATTGCTTCCAGGTTTCGAATGATGGTCTAACATTGATCGACTTATGATTTCAATTTATTATGTTATACGTTCCATTCTAAATAATATTCTTCACATTTTGATTTCAAAAGGTGGAATGTATGTACGTACCGTGCGAAATGTGAAGGCAAAACGCGTCGATGGGTACAATATCATCTTTCTTCATGTCAAAGAGCAAATATACAAAAACAATATAAATTATGGTTTAAAGATATATAGTTATTATGAGAACATATACACTTAAGTTTATCATTGACAGTTTCCATTTTCTCGTTTGTGTGACCAACAATTAGAATAAAATTATAATAAGAAATATCTCAGACATTTTGTTCAAATTTTCCTACGATTATTATTACTTGTCACTTGGACAATTCCACTTTATTGTTTATATGATCAGAAATGAAAATAAACATTATAACGAAATCAGATTTCAAGAATCTCATGTTTCCTAAGTATTTTTACTTTATCGGCCAATCAACTCAGTGTGATTTAGTAAGACCTAAGCTACTTGTGGAACAAATGTTACAAGTTGACTTCGTTTACAAGTTCACTATATCACTTTATTACACAAGATTGGTAAGAAATCCAATGGACTTGATATAATTAAGTAACAAATCATGATAAGAGGTCTGAGAGGTGAAAAAATAACTGTCTATTGCAGGTAGTGATAACCAATAGTAACTTGTCTACCCTAAAAAGACGTGGTAATTTCCTTTAAACAAATAGGTGTTCGTCTACAACCCCTAACCGTAGGGCTCAAAATGTCAGAAATGATTCAGAAATTGGAAGTCGTGGAACTGCAAACAATTATTTATAACTAGGTGAACATATTTTGTAGCACTTTCGATTCGCAAATGAAAACAAAACACATAAGAAAATTTTATATCATAATTGCAAATTATTACAAGTTATAGAAATGATTTATGTACAGTAATACAAAGCATATTTATAGAATACAAAATTTCTGTTTGAAAAAGCAGACAAGATTTAGGAGGAAAAGTGTAAATATTGTTTACAAGACAAACTGAGAAAAACACATGACATAAATTTACAGTGTAGTTGATCAAGGTAAAAATACGTAGTTTTATGTATTTGAATAAATGGATAAGGTTCAATTTTACCTTAATATACAATAAATTGACGAAATCAGAGCAGCCAAACAAATTAATAACAAAAATCACAAATGATATAATTCCACATTTATGTCTATATACATTTACATTTAAGCACTATTAGAAAAAACTATCAGTTGACATTTTCCGGTAAAAAATAATCATTTGGATTTAAACCCATCGCTTTTCTTACCGTATATGGATGGATAAGATCCCCTGGACGAGCACGTTTCGTTAGTTTAATCAGTTTTTCAGTCAGTTTATGTGCGATAGACAGTTCGTTTGAGGTTGGTCGCAGCGTTGAACCTAAATTTGCAGCCTGAGAAGTGTCGCCAAGTCTCAAATATTGTGAACAATAAAGTGCATTTAAATCTTGTGCAGATTCAACTAGTTCTGTATCCAACTGCTTAGCATCGTCGGTAATATCTAATAGAATTCAAACAAATAATTTCCATAGTAAAAATAGCTTATTTAGCAGTATATACATTTATACAAGCGTATACATTACAGCTCACTTATTATCTAGAAAATAAGTACAAGACTTCATTTTCTATACAAAAAGTATCAAGTAGGATAATTTCACTAGCATTATAAAAGGTTTAGTTAAGCCCATTTTGAAAAGAACGGGGAAGAAATTTCCGAATTTCATCGTTAATTGTTGTATCAGTAAGGATAACATCAACTAAATTGGAGTATGGTCAAAAGGGGATAATTTAACATACCTAGCTTAACAACTGCAAAGCTTATTGTACCAAGCAATTAGCCATACCTATTATATGAAGGATAAAAACATTACCCTGCTAACCAAACCTCAGTAGGTGAATTCGAATCTGTGACTTATAGCGATCAGGATGGGTCAGAGCATTCTTGGTGTTAAGGCTTTTGATACTGTGCACGAACACGCGGTGCCGAGTTTCCGTATTATTAACATGGTGTTGACACTGAATATCGGCAATCCTTTGAAGACAAATATAATCAAACACTTAACATCCTTAACGTGCATAGGCCAGGTCCTACAAGCGAAGAGTAACACTTGCCACACCGAAGCATTGTAGACCCAAATTTCTACAGCCCGACTAACATCATAAAGACGCCAAATATGGTCCAGATTGACATAAGTCGCTCTGGCTTTCACTATACGCGAATTAATCCTATCACTCACAACGCCATCAGCATGAATCTGTGTCATTAATGGGCATATCCTTATCAGAGACTTCAACCAACGATTCCTATCACCCCAAAGGCTTCCATCGATAAGCCTACTCAGTAAAATGATCAATAGTAACAAGTAATAACTTTGTGGATTGCTGTTATGCCATGATTTCCAATATAGTTTTATTGTACACAAAATCGTAGGTAAAAGTATATGATGATTTCGTATGGATAAGCACATAGTGATTTCATTTGCCTGGAGCACGTCCAAAACTTTATCGACTGAAAGTCAGTCTGCCTATAACTGCTTGCCTTACCTTACCGAATATAAAGAGTGCAGGAAAGATACCCATGATAAAATGGCTGTTATTAACAATCCCTCCGAAAAGGTCATTTATCACAAGCAGAGAATTTGTTGACTTACAATATGCCGGTGAAGACGCTGACAAAATGCAATCTTCTAACTACCCTAAGCTACAACGAATCTTGGGGAAGCGATTCTCCCGGTCGAAATGCAAAATGGTGTTTCAAGATTATGTTGCATCGGCACCTGAACTAGTGATAGGGAGGGAAGTAGTTGAGCGGGTCGAACGCTTCATTTATCTCGGAAGTCTCATCAGTGCTGATGGCCTGATGACTGACGAAATCGCAGCACGAATATAGAAAGCTCGATTGGCTTTTGCCAACCTGCGTCACTTATGGCGCAGGCGAGATATTCGTTCGCTAACTAAAGGATGAGTGTACTGCGCAGTTGTTCGCTCGGTCCTACTATATGGCTGTGATACATGGCCTTTAAGAGTAGAGGACATTCGTAGATTGCTTGTCTTCGATCATCGGTGTATCCGAAGCATTGCTCGTTTATATTCGGACTATCGTGTAAGCTATGCTGTTATTAGGAAACCGATACCAGGTAAGGATGGCAGATCAATAGATGAAGTAGTGAAACTTCATCAGTTGAGGTGGTTGGGAGATGTGTTACGAATGTCCAATCACCGACTGACTTGTCGAGTCATGTTTCGCGGTGTAGGGAGAGGTTGGAAGAAAGCTAGGGGCGACCAAACCGAAACATGGCACAAATCCATGAAGTCACTAACAAGTGGACTAAGTCATGTTGGCAAGCGTCAACTACCGATTTTGGGTCCGCGAGACGATAATAATCAATGGTTAGAGATCTTGAACGACATGGCTCAAAACTGTGTGCAATGGCGCAGGTGAATGCATTCTTTGTGTTCTCTCGAATCCTAATCTTCTGAATTCCTCATGACTATTTTTTTACTCCTTTTTTTATCGATTCCTCTTGGGTATACATCTCGAACTATGCATTCTATCATTAATCTTTTTGATTACTGCTAATACTTTTACCACCTCTACTACTATGGGATTTGAACTGACAATTGTGTTTTTGTGCTAATATGGTATGGCAGCTAGAACTGATGTAAGTACGTACTAAGTTCTATGTTGTAACTGACTGACTGACTGACTGACTGATATCAAGCTAAGATGAACCGATAACACAGTCAATAAAACCGAATGCTTACACTACTGGGCAAACAAATTTTCTACCGAAGGTACAACTTTTTGGAATAATCGATTTCAAGAAAATTAAAAATGCAGCTAACCTTGTTCTCCAGACTGCACACGAACACTTGAATCGATGGGATTATGACGAACAACAGAGTCCAAGTCATATGTGGAAGGAGAATTGTAAGCACCTGCAGATTTGATACTATTTTCATCGGAGTTAACTTCTGAACATGAATCAACTGAATCAACAACAGACCGTTTTTCTTCTTTCTTAATAAGATCACGTGTAAATGCATTAGCTAAACACATACTAAATACAAACTCATCAGGTACATCAGGACCTGGAATGATGTCCTCTAATTCACATGATAATTGGGTTGTTGCACGCTGTTCACTTTCTGCAACTGCAAGGGAGACAGCTAACTGTTGATCCCCCATTTCCAAAACAGCGGATATCATTTCGTCTGTGATCTCAAAGTCATTCGCACAACTATATGAATCAAAACCATTCAACGAACAGCTGCCGAGTACAAATGGAGTACGTCCCGGTAGCCATGTGGTTCCCAATAACAATTGATTTGACTCCGGAGTACAATGAGAAGCCCCACTGTCGTAAACTGGAGCGAATGAGTAATAAGAGCCATAGTCCAAATATGTGTACGGTATTATTTTATTGCGTCGATCTTCTCGGTAGCCACCATTAGGAAGCAAATACGAACCTGAATACAAGTGACCTATCTATACAAATTAATAACACAAAAAAGGAAACTAACGTAGCAACTCATATACCAAGAAAATGATTATTATCTAACTAAACGAACTGCTACTGAACTCATTTCACTTAGTAGAAAAACTACAGGGTTACATGAGTTTGAAAATAACTGAGCGAAAAAGGTAAAATATTACTTAGAATAAAGTATGTAAATGATAGAATACACCCTTTAACTCAAGTCAGCGAACCAAAAAAGATGTAATACCTTTTAGAGTTCTCATTGTCCATTTAGCCTAATAGTCCATAAGCAACCGTCGACAGAAACCCATTTATAAGGTACTTTTTAAAATAGCGCTATATCTACACTAACAAAACTACGAGTTGTTGTCGAGTTTCCAGGTACATAGTCGGTAAAGTTAGATAGTTTTTCATAGTGATCAGGTGAGATCAAGTGAATGATCATGCTAGGATTTTGTAGGTTTTTCGGAGATACAATATATATCGATGGCATGAGATTCTAAATAATTAGATAGTGAAGCATTTTGTCCAATTTGACATAGGGTCAGGATACTGAAAACTTGAGATAGCTTAAAAACGATTGTAGGAAACTTGGAACAGCGTTCTGCGAACTCAAATCATTGGCACCAGCTGCAAGTGCAATTCAATTCCCTCGATTAGAAGAACACCTAAATCTCCCTTACCGAAAGGAGTCAAACAGTTCATGCCGCGAAAAGCTTTGTGTTCGAATGCTAGGTTTCCATCTAATCAATATAGAGCGAATTTTTATAAGGGATAATATTAAGAAGTTTTATCCAAGCTATGGGTTAAAATCCAGGCTTTCCGGCTAGCTTGCAAGACAGTAGAAATCTATGGTTATACACGTGACGAGAAACTGATTACCAGCTTTAAAGATGATAACCTGATGTAATACCTAGCTATACAGATCATAAATACAGATAATAACAGATAACAACAATGTCTGAAATAAAGCAATTACATATCTATAGTGTTTTCAGTCCACCTCAGTGAAGATAGTCTAGTCAGTCAGTTGAAACGTAGAACTTCGTACGAATGTACATAAGTTCAGGTTGCCACACCACATTAACACAGAGAAACAAATGTCAAATCAAATCCCATAGTGATAGAGATAAGAGAGGTATTAATGGTAATGAAGAAGACTAGGGTCTGAAATATAATTCAGTGAGATAAATTTAGAAAGACAAAGGTAGAGGTGCTGACGAATCCAGATTAGGATTTGAGAGAACACAATGAATGGATGCACTTGCGCCATTGCAAACGATTTTGAGCCATGTCGTTTAAGGTCTCTAACCATCGGTTACTATCATCTCGCGGACCCCAACCAGGTAGTCGACAATTACCGACATGACTCAGTCCACTTGTCAATGACTTCATGGATTTATGCCATGTTTTGGTTTGGCCGCCCCTAGCTTTCTTCCAACCTATTCCTACACTACAAAACAAAGCTCGACGAGGCAGTCGGTGGTAAGGCATACGCAACACGTGTCCCAACCACCTCAACTGATGAAGTTTCATCACTTCATCGATTGATCTGCCATTCTTACCTAGTACCCGTTTCCTAATAACAGAGTTGCTAACTCGGGTGTCCCACGATATACGAGCAATGCTTCGAAGACACCTATGATCGAAAACCAATAACCGACGAGTATCTTCTACTCTCATTGGCCATGTTTCACAGCCATAAAGTAAGACGGAGCGAACCACTGCGCAGTACACTCGTCCTTTAGTCAGCAAACGGATATCTCGCCTACGCCATAAGTGACGCAGGTTGGCAAAAGCCAATCGAGCCTTCTGTATCCGTGCCGAAATTTCGTCAGTCACCAGGCCATCAGCACTGATGAGATTCCCAAGATAAGTGAAGCGGTCTACACGTTCGACCACTTCACTCCCTATCACTAGTTCAGGTGCCGATGACACCCAATCTTGAAGCAACATTTTGCATTTCGAGGGGGGAAACCGCATCCCGAACATGCTTGCATTGTTGCTTATGGTAGTCAGAAGACTCTACATTTTGTCAGCGTCTTCACCGAATAGAACTATGTCATCAGCATATTCCAGATCAGTAAGCAACTTTCCTGGTAGGAGGTCAACCCCTAAAAAATCTGACGAGCTTAATGTTAACTCTAAGAGGATGTTTACGACACAGTTAAACAAGAATGGAGAGTGGACAGCCCTGACGAACACCACTTGATGTAGAGAATTCAGATGACAGTTCGCCATAGGCTCGCACTCGACAAGTGGTGTTCGAGTAGAGCTTGTATAAGGTTAATGTACTTCCTTGGTACACCTTTCAATGACAGACACTGCCACAGAACCTCACGATCCACTGAGATAAATGCCGCCTTAATGTCCAGGAAGACAAATATTGTAGGACGCCTAAATATTTGTCTGTGTTCCAGGACCTGTCGTAGTGTGAAGATGTGGTCTATACATCCACGACCAGGTCGAAAAGCAGCCTGGTTTTCTCTAGTCTGCACTTCACGAGCGCTAGTTAGGCATCTAAGTATAATGGAGGCTAACAATTTAGACACTATATTAGTTAGACTTATTCCCCTGTGATTGTCACAAGAGGACATTTGTCCTTTCTTGTAGACTGGGACAATTAGCGACTGAGACCAGTCAGATGGGATTGTGTCCAGTTCCCGGATTCTACCTGAGATCTCAGTCAGTCTAACTGTTAAAACTGGACCACCATCCTTAAGCAACTCAGGGGTCAGTCTATCAGGACCCGCAGCTCGCCTTCTCTTCAGATTTCCTAACGCTTTTTCAACTTCATTCAGACTAGGGGGACTTACGACGATTTGCCATTCAGGATGACTGGAGATCGTGGGTAACCGAAGAGTGTCTCGAGGCCAGTTGAACTGATCCCTAAAGTGTTCTGCCCATCGATCCAGTCTCCTGGATTGAGAATAAATAACAGTCCCGTCATTTTCTGAGATAGTCTCACTTACACTAGGATTCCTAATACCAGTTCCATTGATAAGTCGAAAAAGTTGTCTACTGTTGCCGATCGCCGCTGCCTTTTCCATCGCTTTTGCTTTCGCCACCCACCACTGTTCGCGATCGTTACGTAGGCTTTTCATAAGTCTGCGCCTAAGTTGACTTCGTTCTTCATCATGTTCAGAGCCAGGTGGGATGAGTTTTCGGGCATCCATCAGTTCGGTAGATGCTAATGAGAACCACGGCTTCATTCTAGACTTATGGTCAACCTTACTAGCACATATCACTGCTGTTTCCACAGCCTCTCTGATATCATTCTAATCTGACTCCGGATGGGAATCGCTTAAATGGTCGCCTAACTGTTTGTCTGGTTCCTCCTGAAATATTTTCTTAGCTTGATTATCATTAGGTAAAGCCCTAAAAGGTTTTCATGCGATATTTTTCTGGCGTCCGGTAAGGCGCAAACAAATACGCGCTCGCACTAGAGCATGATCTGAATCTAAACATGTGCTCCAGAACGAGCGACAGTCCTCTATCGAACTCCTTCATCGGCGGCTGATGGCGATGTGATCTAGTTGCGTCCAACGTTGAGACGACTTCGGGGGTCTCCAGGTCAAGACAAAATTTTCCTTGTGTTTAAAATCAGTGTTTGCGAGAAATAGGCGGTTATCTGAGCACAATTTCAACAGACGGTCGCCATTGTCTGTTCTTTGAGCAGCGACACAATAACATCCACCTAGGTGTCTTTCATTTTCACTCAGTCTACCTACTTGAGCATTAAAGTCACCTGCCATTATTACTATATCAGAGCGATTAACATTTTGGAGGAGGTCCGAAAGCTTTCTGTAGAACTCATCTTTAACCTCGTCTGTACTGCAGTCAGTGGGGGCATAGGCAGATACGATGAAGAGGCAACGGCGATTGTCCCTATCTTTCCGAGTCCTTACTGTCCCATTTAGTCGGACAGCGCACAAGCGACTATCTACTGGGATCCAGTCAAGGAGAGATTGTTCAGCTCTACGACTCAATGCTATGCCTACGCCAGCAAGACCCCTGGAAGCAGCATCAGGGCTACCGGATACACGAAGGGTAAATCGAGTTGCTTCTTTATCCTGACATGGTGAGGTCAAGTGAATGATGCTACTCGGATCCTGTATGCGCGTTTCCGAGACGCAGTACACATCGATGGCGCAAGATTCTAATGTCCTAGCTAATAAAGCCTGTTGCCCTATTTGACATAATGTACGTACATTATATGCTCCAACATGTAGTTTAGAATGGGCCTTCAATAGACCAGGAATAACGTTTCGAGGACTCGAATCGTTTGCAGCAGATGTGCAGGGAGATAAAGGAATGTGAGTAGAGTTAGTCGTGGAGATAAGAGAGGTATTAGGAGGTGTAAGAAGGATTTGATTTTGACCGATTCGGTCTCGCGTGCTGTTACGGGTATGAGGGCGGTTGTCACTTACCGGCTGCCCACACCGTGGAAGGTTGTTTCTTGAGGGACCTGAAAAGGAAGGTAGATTATTGTCGGTCATAGAGACCTGGGGGCGTGACCGCAGAGTCCAAGCGACAACTGCTTGAGGCCGGTCACGCACGGCCTTTTTATGAAAGGTATTTTGAGGATTAGTTCCGTTCTTAAAGGCCCTTAGTGGGCACCCTTACCCAAGGAGACGGAAATCCGTGAGGTAGGGGAGGTGTGACATTTTTAGGGTCGACCTTTTCTAACCCCTTCCTTCCTTGTGAGAAGGCAGCATCGCAGCAGATGCTGGTTGTCCCAGGGGAAACACCTCACTGCTGTCACACCCCTTTGCAGTCAGCAGTACGACTTCGCCCACAGACCTTCAGTAGCTGCTTTTAGTCTTATCGTTCTCCAATCGACCTGCCTGGCATGGTAGAACCTTCAGGAAAATATGTTCCAGCCAATGTAGCTCGGTTGGGTCATCACGATAGGCAAGCCCGACCACCACGTCAAGGTAGCAGCTACGGTCGGGGAAGACAGTGTATTTATATTTACTCATGGTCAGGAAGGGTACAAAAACGTTAACCGTTTCAGTCTAAACCCCAGTTGGAAGTTAAGTACTGAAACCTCCAGAGAGCTGTCAGTCTACCTGTAGCCACAGATATTACAATATATTACTCTAACACTGCGAAATAACACAATAGTCTGCTTACTTTAATACTTTATACTTAAACTAGAAAACTACGTGGAAAAGATATTGACTAAATAAGGTATACAGTTAAGCCCAAATCGTCGTTGAAGAAAACATTTAATTATGACTAGGGTTTGCATTAAACAGCTGTTCAGAATCATAGAGTTATATCCTACTTCCATATTAGAAGTAACAAAATGCAAAGTTAGTAAGTACAAACCTCATCTCCAATACTTTGAACTCGTTCTGTTTTACTGATGATACCATTATTATCCGGATTTAAAATGTGTAAATGGGTCTCCTTAGATATGTTATCATTATTATTGTCTGATGTTTCGACTTGCAACTTTCTATCAACTGTAAGTTCACTGTCCGGTGGACGATTTAAACTAGTGATATAATTTGTATTTAATGAATTAAACCAATCAGTGGTTAGATTGAACAACCGCTGAGCTTCATTATGAGCCATTGATTCAACTTGATAATATCGAAGTGCGCAATTGAGAAGTCCAAAAATACTTTTTTGAAACTCGGACAGGGTTTTATAATATTTCTGGTATAGTTTCTTCTCAATATCTAGCAATCCCAATCCACATAAAGGCTGAAAGCAAAGTAAGAAATTAATTAGGAACATTCTCATATGAGTCCGATACACTTAAGCATACATGGAACTTGATAAACGGAAATAAAAGACAATAACAAAAAATGGTGAAAAGAAAACGATAATGGCCACGACTGAAGAAAACAATATCTTCTAATCCTAACCTCTCCGACTACTGCTAATACCTTTACTAACTCTACTACTATTGGATTCAAAATGACAATTACATGTCTGTGCTAACGTGGTATGGCAACATAAACTGATGTACATACGTACGAAGTTCTACGTTGCTATTGATTGATGGATTGTTTTAGATATAAAACTTTTGTCGGCTGATATTTTAGGGGTTAAACTTCTACAAGGATATTCACTTGTTGACTCAAAATATGCAGATGACAGTTCTGTTTGGTGTGTTCTCAAAGTTCTTCTCTATTTCAGTTTCAGTTGATCTGCCGGCAGGTTCACTTGTTGACTTAGAATTCGCAGACGATATAGTTCTGATTGATGAAGACGCTAGCAAACTGCAGTCTTTAGAACTTGATTCTTTCCCTCCAAATGCAAAATGTTGCTTCAGCATTGGTTTGTGTCGGCGCCTGAATTAATAATAGGGAATCAAGTACTCGAGTATCGGTCAACTCACCTATCTTGGATGTTTCATCGGTCCCGGGGTTCTGGAGTCCGACGAAATATCGGCATGTATTTGGGAAGCCCAGTTGGTGTTTGCCAACGCGTTGTTTGTGGTATAGGCTAGATAACCATCTTTCAACCAAAGGACGAGTTTACTGAGCAGCATTTCGCTTCGTTCTACTTTACGGTAGTGAAATGTGGCCTTTAAAAATAGGGAATATTCGTAAGTCACTAGTAGTTCATCATAGATCCCTTTGAACTATTGCTCGTGCGTTTTGAGACCATTGAGTAAGCAATGCCTGGGTTAGGAATATAGTTCCAGGTAAGGATAACAAATTGATTATTGAAGTAGTGAGTGTCTATCGATTGAGATGGTCAGAAAATGTATTTCGTATGCCAACCCACCGGCTATCTCGAGGCACAATGATGTCTGATGTAGGTGTAGACTGAAAGTTATGGGAGGCTGAAGTAAGGCATGGAATTAGTCCACGAAGAATTCTACTAGTGGATTGACCCAATTAGGTAGCTTTAAGCTATGTGGTTGCGATCCGCGTAAATACCATAATCGGTTGTTAGAGGCTTTAGGTGATATAGCCCAGAATAGTTCGTAATAGCACAGGTATAATCACTTTTTGTTTTACTTTAGACCCAAAGTTTCCAAGATGTCCCTTTAATTTACTAATCAACACATTTCTTAATTCGGAACTTTGAAGTCTAATCTCATATTAGAACTGTTATTTTCACTACCTCTACGTTGCTGTGATCTGATTGATTGATTCTAGCATTTGGCCTGACAGCTTCACCTCTGTGCTAACTGCGAATAGTATTTTGAACTGATGTGCGTGCGTATTAGTCTTTACGTTGCAGCTGACTGACTGAATAATGTGCACTAAGATACATATCATTCTGAGGTCACTCATCGGCCCAAGTTGCAACAAAACTAGGTGTAAACTCAGATAAATACAATGCTAATGAATAACTAACGATCTGAAACGTATGGAGAAAGGTGAGCTGCTTAGCAAGGGTTTTTACGATGTACAAAAGTAAGTGGTTACATATAACAGGTGATACAAACAATTAACTTTCACAAACAGTCAAAGTATTAGTATGTTTGTTGTTGATATTCAGAATGACAATCAATTAGTCTATGTTGCCTTACATTCAGTTTGAACAGATTGCTTTGACATAGAGTTATGTGTTGATAGAGCTCTGTTCCCTGAGCTGAACGGTTTGACCGTGAAGCTTTCGTTGTTCTTCTGAGCAACACCATTAGGTGAGCTATTCAAACTTCTCCGTACGACTGACAGCTTGTCTTTTCCACCTCTGAACATCTCACTTTTACCTGAATTTTGTGCTGATTAAAGAACAAGGGAGGCCTCACAATTAAACTATCCAGTTCACACAACAAAACTCTACTAAAAACATTCACACGATACAAAATTTCCAAGGATGAAGCAGAGATCCATAAAACTTATACCTATTGCTACCTTGTCCTTGAAGCTAAATCTGCTATTATTTGGTTTGTAAGTGACCAACAAAATTTCTTTACCCACAATGATGAAGTATTGTTTTGAAAGCGTCTGAGAACAAAATTTTCAGCACAGAAAATGACAAAATATGCTAGGTAGGACACTCTTCGGTATAGACACCAGTTGGCTGGAGGGTTCAGGATTTGCACTTTTGTTGATATATATAAATATTCTTAAACATAATACCAGTTTATGAGTTCAAATATATGCTGACTCTTAGTAAAAACATTATTCATCCCTTTTACTCTACTGATACTTGATAAATTGATGCCATGAGAGCAAGTCACCGGGAAAAGAATGTCAACTGCACAGCTTTGAACATAAAATCGCCAGAGAGCGACATCCACCCATTTGCACACAACTAAGTGTTCACTTACAGATGAAAAAGCTTATAATTTTTAGTTTCAATAAAAAAAGTTTTAGAAAAAAGGTACAGAAACGATGGTAATTTCCATACGACAGAAATTATTACGCCCAATCAACTACACCTTCTACACAAGAAATAGGACTACACTAAAAAATGGAGAAAATTATGGAGCGCATTATATACTACGGACACCAATCAAATTAAAGTACTAACGCAAAAACTTGCTACTTATAGGAACTTTGTAATATCCAGAAGTTAACGTGTGAAGAAAGCTCGTAACTCAAACATTACTATGTCAATTACAGCACTAAAAGAACTAACCAAAATAAACCATTCGCGAATTTTTATGAGGCAGAAAAAAGAAAGACTCACTTTGAGGTGTGGTAGAGGATAAAGCAGATACCCATTAACATCTTGTTCTTTGAGAAGGTTAAGAAGTTCTAAACAAACATCTAGTAGTAAGGCTTGTCTTTGAGATTCATTAACGAAAGAACCTTCAGATAGTTCAGTTGATGTTTTCTCTGAAACAGACAAATTTGGATTGGGATAGCAATTGAGAGGCATGGGACAACTAATGGCAGGGACAGAAATCATATTCGTTAGTGAATTACTAAGTGGTTCATGGAGAGATGGGTGAGATATGAGACCATTTGAATCAAGGAGTGACTCCAAAGTAATAGGAGCACTTTCACACTTGTTGAGAAACTGTACATTTGAAGCATTTGCCATAACTACGCAAACAGCAAAACCCAGAAGTGTAGACTGTTATTTTGAAACTAGGGGCACTTCCAATATTCAATATCTCTTTCACCAGCGAGTACAAATCAATTGATATCTTTGCCCTCGATTCTTGTTTGTTTGTTTCAGAGCAGCAGGATTTCTGGATATTAACAGCTATCACCTTACGGGACAGGAGTTGCAGTGTGGAGAATAATCAGGAGAAAATTCTTATGGTAATGAGATTTCAGAAGTGAGTAAATAAATACATCATTTGGTTTATTAATTAGTAAAGAAGATTTTGCGAGAGAAATGAAGTGTAAGCAATGAAAAATAAACCGAATAATGAGCGGGTTATATTACGTTAGTGATCTGAGATGGCAATAATAACGACTAACAAGTCTCAAGCCATACATCAATCACAGCTGATCCACCAGGTAGATGATATTTGTGTGTGAGTACGTGTCTAAAAGGTTGTCTTTGAATAAAGTGGAGGGTCGCATTTGCCTTGGCTGCGTCCCCTATATAGTTCGAACAGGTGTTAAAACACTAGACGAAAGGTTTCTAATAGTATAAGTGGTTATGGTAGTAGATCACCGACACCTCAAGATAAGTAGCCAGGTACATTAAACAAGCGAAGCAAAGTGTGGTGAATCAATATGAAATTCAATGCTGATTTTATAAAAGTGTTCAGACACGTTCAAGTGTAATAGTATCTTTGGTCACACACGAACCAGCTGCTGTGATGAAATACTCTAGGTGAGGTCTCACACCCAAAATACATAAAACCCAAAATATACTCTCGTCAAAGCAGTTAAATGATGGTGAGTGATTCTGAAGTAGTGACCGTGAGGAGTGACTGTAATTGGGGTGTGGTATATACTACTCACGATAAGGATTATGAGTATTATGCGCAGTGTCGCCTTGAAGCTAATGCCGAAGTGAAGAGTGTCGGATCTGGAGGTATGGTGTGATCGGAGTGTATTGAAGACAAGAAAACATGCGGAAGAAGACATAAGCCGATCCGCTTGTTTCTCAAATAGAAGTTTGAAGATAAAATGTAAGCTTGTTGCTAGCAAACGGCTTCTTCTTCATGTAAGCCACCCGTTCCGTCTGGTCCTGCCGTCTTTAAACTTATCCTATTCATCTTCGACCGACCCATTTACATTGTTTGATAAACCTAATAAGAAAGCTTATTATCAAAACCATACCTGGTAGCCCATTTATGATGGCAGGTTCCACTAACTTCATATGATGCCGATGCCAGGGTCTTTCGATTACTCTAGATTCAAAATACTTAAACTAAAAACGGGTTCAATCCCTTTAAAGTCATCTTCATGACTTTTGGTAGGGCTGTCGTATCCTCCCTATTGACTGTCATCTTTTTGGTTTCGTCTTTCGGATAAATCCACTTGCACTTCCCAACTTTTCTAGTAAGAGAGTTTTTCTATCTGTACTTTCAATAATTGCATCTATATCATCAATGTTCAGAATAAATGCCTTTATATTAGTGGTAGTTTCTTTTCCTGAAGATGGAGGGCTTACCACGGTTGCATGTACATGAGTGTAGACAGGGGCTGTTTTATTTTTGGGACTTATCCTTTCGATAGGAAGTAAGTGCTTGGCTAACGGTATTAGCAACCGAACTTGACGTTTCCGCCTCGACTGACATCAAATCTACTGGGCACATATGATCACCAGGCAACCTTGTCATCAGATTGAGACGTTCTAAGGCTTCATCCAGGAGAATTCCCTTAGTAAGGTAGCATTCTCTGCATTACCTGATTGAGGCCGGTTTACAAAAGCTGTTATGCACAGACAGTGATGGACCGGTACAAGTTATATGAAAATACCCGCCACACTGCATTTCATCTTCGACAGGAAAGAAACAACGGTATACATCATCACTGGCTTTGGATGACCATTCTAACGGGAATGATGTAGTGAGCACTTAGATACTCACCAGCAAAAGACTTCAACTGATGAAAGCTGAAGTAAAAACCATGTCACAAAGGTACTTCACAAACCAAAACAGCGCTGAAAGGGGCTATAAGGCTGAAACTTAACTCCTGGTACTACAAATATAACATGAACCTGATAGTTTAACACATGAAAAATGCAGCTCTGTTTTTCGATTCAGGCATGGAATGAATTAAGTTAAATTAAATTAAATGAATTAAACCTTAAATTGCCGGCTATTGACTTTGATGAATGTGCGTAGAATGTGTCAACCTGATATTCGTAACCGGTAGGGATATTCACCAGTTAGACTCTAATCGTTGCTATTTTTTGTAGGGATCATACGAGGTGAAATTACCTATGTCCAGGGCTTTTAGCAGTTTTAAAAGAGGATTGCAAAGTAATGCACTGCCTACTGCTGTTATGAACTTAATTATTTTTACTGAGTTTTGGATTTATTTGTTTCACAAGAACTTTGAACATGTTCATTTATAACTCTGTCCTTGGTCATTTTCGGTTCCACTCCTTTGGTATGATATCTTGAGCATTTTGTCCCGGGAACGTAAAAACCAATAAATCATTCTAAATTTTGCGGTAATTATTATCAGAAGGGCATATTGGATTTAATGGCTCCTAACTTACGAATAAGTTTTCCGAACACAAAACGAAATTCTTGTATGGGATGTAATTACGGGTATGTCGATTCTCCGTACTTCAAGAACGAACAAAGGGAAATTTCGACTTAACAAGAAGCAATTCCGATATAATAGGTGATCCCGTAATAGTGATATGATTTAGGACCTCGAGGGTTAGACACAGCAATTTGGGTTTTCATTCACACAGAGATACTGAGCTTTGGCTAAAAGTACAGACGAACTGCATGTTTAAATATAACCGGACCTAAAATTGAACTCAAGGATAAAACTCCAGCAGCAACACATTCAGAGTTTTAATCCCCTAACCTCCACTTGATTGGGGCAACCAGTAGTTAATAGTTTTCTAGCACGCTGATGAAAATGATTGCTATTGACAGGTCTCCATCAACGAAAATCCAGTGGATGTAGTTTCGTCAACCCAAATCAGGTTAGACGAATCTCCTACCGTAGGTGATAATCAAGTTTTTTCTGCCAGCTCTAAGCTGAAGACAATATCTTGTGGAAGATCGTTAGAATTAACAAAGAGGAAGCCCTTTCCTGCACCAATATCGATGAGGTGATGAACCTTTTGTATCACATCAGTGATTCACAACAGATGATTTTATATGCCAGCCCTAGTTGCGGTAATTCGCATCTGAGGGGTTTATCGTTTTATTAACTCCAGCGAAAGGTATTAATTTAGGGAAACTGCAGGGTCCCCTCCATTTTCTCGACAATAGTAATGTATTATGATGCCGACACCAATTTGGTTCATCTATTTTTGAGATCCAGAAGGAGATCTCCGGCTTGGCAGGGTTATTTGGGGAGTTACGGGCCACCTGCAATCATGCTCAAGTTTAGGAAGTGGAGTAACAGTATCACAGTGTTGCATTACATTGTATCCAGTTGACTGAGGGTCTTATTTGACAGGACAAACCCTGATGATCGGGGTTATGAAAATCTCTTAAATTTAGATGGAATATTCAACTGGATTAGGAAGGACGATATTTGGCATTGGTTTACGGAGCTTAGACGAAAATAGCTGTTTCAAAAAGCCAATTCCAAAAGTTCACTAAACGATTGAATTTCGCATGTGAATCAATAATCTTGTCATCGAGCCATTTCCCATTGAATTCTTTTGATATGGCTGGTCTAAAATTTGTCTGACAGTTACGTCTCCACATTTAAGGAAGACTTTTCGAAAGCTGGCAAGAGTTTTGGGAACATCAATAGTATTCTCTGAATATGGCGTGGCACCTGAAATAGCGCAGTAGTACTTTCACTACTAAGGAGAGACCTTGTAGGTGGGTCAGTCACATTGAGTTCGTCGAAATCAGCTTCTACTTGACAGAATTAGGCTTACATATTACTAGGCCAGAATGACAAGGTGTAAGGGCCTAAATATTCGATGCCTTAGTTGTATTCCAACATGATAAGTGAGGTTTGATGAGGCGCATTTCGTCATCAAGCGAAACCAGCTATGGTGCTGAAAGGTTAGTGTTAGGCTTCAAAAGTTAAGCTAGAGTCCTGAGTTTGATCACCACTACATATTAATTACGAGCCCGTTACGGAGAAGAAAGGTCATTCCATACTAAAGAATCAATATCCCGGTGACTTCATGGTATCGAAAGAATACTGAAGTCGTACCGGGAAAGAGAGGCGAAATCACAGAGACAGCAGATCCAAAATGACAGCAACACATACAGAAATTTTTTGCGTACAGAGTGATGTAAAGTACTATTGGTTATGATAATGAATGTTTCTATTAAACCGATCATGTTCTTTCCGTTAAAGTGATTTCTCTGTCACATTTAACATTAACTTTGAAGTTTTCATCACGAAGTGTCATTACCCGGAACCGTGCACAAGAAAAGGAATCGAACAAGAAATCACTTGGTTTATGTATGCTCGTGAGGAAGGTGTTCGATATATTGGATATTGAACCATGATCTTATGTTTCGTCATTATACCGTTTGCAAACTTAAGGATCATGAGGTTAGGATTTATATGGAGATTTATTAGAGACGGTAACTATCTAGCTCTACAAAGCATTCAACCAGAACAAGTATTTGAAGATACGACTTGCCATTTACGATTTAGCTTAAAAAACCATATCATCCAACATCAAAGTCAGAACTTTCAATACAAATGTCAACACAGTCCTACTGTATGAGCCGTAAACCTGGAAGGCTACGAAAGCCATCACCCAAAAGATACAAGTGTATTTTAACAGCTGTCTACACAAAATGCTTCAGATCCGTTGGCGAAACACTATCAACAAGAACCTGCTGTGGCAGGGAACAAACCAGATTCCAGCGGAGGAAGAAATCAGGATGGAGCGCTGGAAGTTGATAGGATACACATTGAAGAAATTCCCCAACTGCATCGTAATACAAAACCTCGATTGAAATACGTAAGGCCAAGGGAAAAGAGGAAGACCGAAAAAACACATTACGTCGAGAAATGGAG